TTTCTACCATAAATTAAAATAATCCCGAATTTCATAAATACATAATATCAAATTTAATTTTAACTTTTTAAATGTGTGAACATTTTTAAGTGTTCAATAATAAAAATTATGAGCAGTATTATATTATGAGTAAATGCTTTTTATATTTTTTTCCAAAGCTTCTTCTTTTATATTTTTTTTCATAAATATTTTATATTAATTTTTCTATATTAAATATTATTTTATTAATGTATTTTTATGATAATTATTAATATATTAAATAATAATTTTAATTTCAGCTATATATAAGTATTCAAAAAATTAAAAATAGTATTAAAAAAAATTTATAAAATAACATTGTGTCATTAAAAATATTTAATTCATATTCATATTCAATTGTTACAATTTTTCAAATATTATAATATTTACAAAAAATCTATTTATAAAATAGTGACAAGTTCATTAAAATCAGTAATATACCATAATGATTGCTGTTTGATATTTTCTCTAATTACATTTCCTCCATATCCTGTGTAATAAAATGGATATTGTAATTAAACATAATATTAAAAATTGAATGAATTAAAATAAATTAAATTGAGATAAGATATACCTATGAATAAATCTACTATTGAAATAGTTTCTAAATCTGTTGATCCATCACCAATATGAACAATAGTTTTAAGTTTTTTTTTATTCTTAAGATATTTAATTACTTTTATTTTCCCACCATTTTCTGCAGTAGGTTGATTTTCATCAAATCCTGCATATTCTCCTATAAATAGATTCATAAAGAAACAAAGATAAAATATATATATAATTAACTTTATATCAAAGTAAACAAATAATAACCTGTATAATAGAATTTAAGTTTATTCGCAAAAATATTCTCTAATGGAATATTAAGTGATGTGGCAACTGGTGCAATTAAAGAATGAAATCCACCAGATATCAAAAATATTTGCTTTTTATGATTTTGTAGTGTTGTTACCAAAGTTCTGAAATTTTCATAAATAATTTTAAAAGAAATAATTTTACTAATTTATTTATGAAAATTTCTTGTCATATTCAATTCATTTCAATTCATATTTTTCCCTACTTAATTCCAGGTGAAAGTTTTATTGGACGAGAAGCCAAAAATTGTTTTATTTGCATAAGACTTGGTTTTATAATATTCAATCTTTCCTCTAAGGATTGTCGAAATGTCATGTCTCCTTGCATAGCTCGATTTGTTCTAAAATCATTTTTATTCATTGAAGTCAACTATTCCATATGATATATGAATGATAACAAAAATAATGGAAAAAAAAATATTAAATTTTAGAATAGCAAAAAATAAAAATATTTGATAAAATAAAAAAGAAAAAACTTACAACGAAATAACATCATTTTCTTTTCCACAAAATTTTGCTAGTTCATCAATTCCTTCTTCTTGTATGACGGTCGAATCAACATCAAAAGTTACTGCATCTGCATTTTTCCATATAGATCTTAATTCGTTTAAATTTGCCATTTATTTTATGCAATACAAAATGATACACTGAAATTATAAATTTTTTCGTTGCTGCGTATTAAACGCAGATAATAATTAAACTTTTTTTTATCTTTATAAACTGTAATTAAAAGATGCATGATAACTAATATATGCATATGCATATATATATATATATATATATATACTTACTATAGTTGAGCAATTTTAATCATTAATAAAAAATTTTTATTTATATTTATTATGTTTTGCGATTTTATTAATAACAATACATTATTTAAAAAATTTATAATTATAAAAGAAATTGTATTTATATTTATTAAAAATGTAATTTTTTAAGGTTAAGATATTATCATATGATACAATTGGTTAAAAAATATATTTAAAAAATAGTAATAAAAGAAGTATATGATATTTTTTACTTTTTTTAATATTATATTAATGAAATATTATTGTAATAAAAAATAAAGATTAAAAAAACAATCAATGATTTTATTTAAAAATTGCATAATTTATTTTTTTTTAAGTAATAAATTTAATGTATATAATATTAAATTTACTTACTATATTTATTTACTATATTTTATTTTTAATGTGAAATAAAGAAGAAAAATATAAGTTAAATTTTAAATTATGTTTATATTTTTTTCGCTTATCTTTGAATAATGTTTGAAAATAATGTTTGAAAATAAATAATATTAGGATATATATGGATAAATTAAGGTTTTTAAATGGAATAGAAGTAAAAAAAAATTATTATTGCCATTAGAAATCTGAAATTAATATAACATTAATTTAGGATAATATGAAATTAGAATAACATAGATAAATTATATGTAAAATCTTCAATAGGATAGAATGAAAAAGAGATTATCGATTATTATGATTATTGTCATAAATTAAGATTTTCAATAGGAAAATAAAGAACTGAAGGAAATACTAGCGGTTAACATCAAACACATAAATAGAATACAATTACAATACAGATGACATATATATTCGATGTATATATATAAATATACATATAGGCATATATACATAGGTCAGAATCATACGATGTCAAAAAATGGATATTATATCTGTTTTTTAATGATCGTCGCATTTTTGCAACAAAGCAAAAGACAAAAAAAAAATAAATAAAAAGTAGAGAATAACTGATATAAAAAAAAAATAATTAAAAATTTGGAATTGAGCATCATCGATTAGAATTATTTATAGAATATATATTGTCATATGAAATAAAAAAACAAATAATAGAAGAAGGATAGAGATAAACTAAAAAATGACTGTTAGCGCCATCTCTTGAATGTCAAAGAAAATCTCTTTAAAAACAAAATAAAGTAGAATAATAATTTCAAATAAAAACATTTAAAAATTACTCAAGAGATGATGTTAATTTTTAATTCTTATCAGCTTTATATAATATATCTTAAGATAATTTTAAAATAAAGATTTAGTAAAATAATATTTCTCATATGATAAATCTCATATGATACCGATATTTTATGATATATTTTGCGATTTTGATCACTCAATGACAATCAAAAACATAGTTAAATATCTAAATACTAACTACTATAGAATATCAAACAATAGGGCCTTAAGATCATATGGTTCTAATTAATTAAAACCTATAATTTTTCAAACACAAGTTTAGAAAAAGGATTAATTTATAAATTATTTCTATAGTTCAAGATTTAGAATGTCTATATAAAATATATTTGATTTTTGATGCTCTATATATATATATATATATATATATATATATATATATATATATTTATTATAATATATATA